GGACACTGCGTTTGTCTACATCAATTTCACATTTTATGACCGATCAATGCAGGAAACCAGGTAATCCCAAAGAGCTCTTTTACTTGTCAGTGTGTGTGTGTGTGTGTCTGTGTGTCTGTGTGTGTTATGTGGAAAAAAGATTTTCCTCCGGAAGGAAAGGTGAAGTATATTTTTGTCCAGACTGACAAGCTTCCAGTTTGGGGTCCCCAGAGTCTGTCAGTTGGAAAGAGTTTCAGATGGGAAGACGATCTGAGGTGCGTTTGATGTCGAAGGCAGTTTAAGGGTCCAGTAACTCGAACCAAACGCACCTGTCTACATGCTAATGAGGCAAAAGCTCCTCTCGCCCTCTTGAATTCAGTGCAGTAGACTCAGAAACGATTTTATTTCATTACTTATTTCCGTTGGAGTTGAAGTAAAAACTGCCAACGTACTGTAACGTGCATCATCAAAATACCGCACAGTTCATATGAGAGAAAGAACATAAGAAACAAACACAGGGAAGACAGTATTTGTGTCTCACCGTGTCTCCGGAGGGAGACTTTGATTGTTTCAGTTGAAATGTGCTGTAAAGCAAGATTGATCTGCTCCATCCCCCAGCGCCTTGACGCAGCTACCTCTCAACATAAAGTGCTGAAACATCAACATCTGCTCCCAGCCCCGGAGCTCTGTCCCTATAGCAACATATAGAGAGGAGAAGTTTAATAATAAAACGTGCTGCACACTCACATATGAAGTTTGTTGATTCCCATTTAACCTGGTGTGGCCTTGTACAAACAACTCCTGCAACATCTGTGACATCCTGGAGGTTACGGTGGTGACAGTGAGGCGACAGCAATGCAGTGATATTTAAAGGAAGTGTGTCAAGTGTGGTGGCATTGAAATTATGAGTGTAGGTATTTTTTTACAGAAGTGGAAAGAATAGAAGAGCTTGAGATACAATATTAAAGATGTTCACCGATAGAGGAATAAAGGCCGAACATGAAAGAAGAGAACTTCCTTATTGAGCTTCATTTGAAGTGTTAAGATCTGAAAGAAGTCGAACCGTCAGTGTGTTTCATGCAAATCTGCAAATGTTAGCATGCTAATGCGCTAAACTAGCATGGTAAACTTTACACCTGCAGAAAAACATCATCATATTAACGCCGTCAGTGTGAGCATGTTGGCTCAAAGCACCACACTGTGCTGTAGTGCAGCCTCACAGAGCTGCTGTTAATTGCTCATTTATAAAGATTGAAAATGAAAGCTTTTATTAACTGGATATTAAATATGTTGAATTGAATTGAAGTCAGCAGTCAGACAGACACGTCAGTGGCATCACTCACGAGTTATCAGTGTATCTTAGCCTTTTTTTTGCTTTTTTTCATCCTCGCTGTGTGTCTGAGGTTGTGTCTCTCAGCCAGTAAGCTTTGTTCCCCAGATGCTCATCCCTCAACCCTCCTCTCTGCCAGCAGAAAGCAGCCACTGCCTCTCCTGTTTCCTTTCTGAGCCAGGGTTTACAAATTCCCTCTGATTTACAAGGTCATAAAACTCGGCTCCTGCTCCTCCTCCTCCTTCTCTCCTGCTTCAATCAACCTCTCCAGCTAAAGCAGTTATTTTATAACTCTCAAAGTATGTGCTCCTGTACAAGGCTGCCGCAGTCTTTCTGCTTCCTGTTTTCACACTGCATATTGTATATGCTCAGAGACGTATACATTCGACAGACTTCGCTTCAGATGAATACGCACGTTGTGTGAGGACACGGAGGGGGGAAAACGTCTTGTAATGTTATCAGTCTTCACGCCTGTTGGAGTTACAAAGTCGTAACTCCTTTCTGCTTCACAGTGTGCTGACAGCTGAGACAGGATTATGAATCGAAGCTGACATGATATCATTACAAGGAGGAAAAGCAGAGACAGTCCGCAATGCATCTAAAAGTGGCGATGCACCTTTTTAAAAACATGCTTCTCTCGCGTGTTGTCCCACGTCTGTATTCCTGTCTTGCTACTATGTTCTTGTTGAACACAGTCGCCTTTATTCCAACATAAAAGTCTCTCTAGCGTTACTCCAGAGAGCATCTGGCGAGCGATGTCCTCTGACCGTAAAGCTTTGTGTGGCGGCTGCCTCGGAGGGTCATGGCAGCCCTGCTGTATCTCCCTCGCGCACACACATGCACGATCACTGAAGCGGTCGCAATAAACACACAACACACACATCCTGCTGCCTGAAGAAACTTAATGATGTCTTCCTTTAGTTGTGTTTTTTTTTTATGTCCTCTGCAGCTAGTTAAGGTTTTAAGAACCCAAAACCATCTCAGTGTAGTTTCACATCTCCTCTCTCAGGCTTCTCTCTGGAGCTCTAGTAACAACAGGTCAGTGAGCCAATCAGAAGAGAGGAGGCTCTGAGCCTCTCTTCTGATTGGCTGACTGTTTTCTGAATGATCAAAATAAAAATATAGCAGATTTTAAGGTAAAACACTCAGAGAAACCAAATCCTGCAAGGTTTGGATGGTGGGTCCAGGTGGGTGGGGTTTGTGACTTGTTTGTTGTGACATCATTAAGTTCCAGGAAGTCCTGACGGCTGGTTTTAACGCTCAGTTTCTGAATACAGGCTGTGCGCATTTCTCTGTGGACTGAGGCTTTGATACTTTCACAGTATTAATATAGAACCTAGACCTGATCTATAATCACACTACACATGGACAGAGACCTTTAGACTGTATGGGACGTTTAAATTCAGTTTTCTATTCTTTGTTGAATGTCAACAAACAGTCTGAACCAGTATGAAACATACATGTGAAATGTAAGTGTGCCTTTAAATTACTGTCAGACTTTGCACCAAAAGCAACATTAACTGATGTAAAAGTGCAACAATCATTGGGGTTTTTTTGCATCATTTTTACAAGGTAAAACATGTAGTTGTATTTGTGTGTGTGTAAGTGTGTGTGTGTGTGTGTTTCCTCTTCAGATACCTACCAATAACCTTCATTTATAAATCCCCCCTCGCACACAAATCCTAGCTCAGCTCTCCTGAGTGAAAAGATTACAGGGTAGTGATTTCACCTTCTAATTAGGACTTGATCTAACACACACACACACACACCTATACACACTTATACACACATATACACACACCAGGCTGCTTTAGTTACAGTAGGCTGGCTGGAAGCATCTGATAGCCAGGCCTCCAGGGACCCTGACGAGCGGCTACCTGAAATTTAAGCCCCAAAAGAAGCCACTGAGGTAGACACACACGTACGCTCTTACACACACAACACACACACAACACACACACACACACACAGTTTTAGAGCAAGGAAGTGTCCCAGAGGCAGAAGAGTTTCAAAGGCAGAGTTATGAGTAAAATCGAAACATTTTATTTTAGTAATAATGAGGTTTTTTCCTGCCCCATGAGTGTGGCAGCTATTGGTAATCGATATTATTGTAGTGTGTGTGACTTTGTGCGCACACTTGGTGACTGCACCTCTGAGGCGTCCCATCATTATGGAGAAAATGACCGGCTTTCATGTGTAGTGCCTCCCTGAAGAGCTCGGCTTTAAGAGCTCTCCACTCCTCTGTACGCCGCTCCCATATGGCTCAGTCTCTAGCAGGTACAGAACAAAGTGAAAAAGACAGATTTCGAGCTGCAGTTCATCAGGACACACCGGGGGAATTATTTTGTGTGCAAATTTGGCTGGGTTATGAAACAAGTCGTGTCCTCGTTTTTTGAAAATCAAAGACCTGCTGTGACAATCTCAGTGTGGGGACGATCAAAAGGCTTTTATTGTGGAAGTAGTGTTTCCATCCAATCTGATTAACATGACTTATTTTTAAAAAAAAAAAAGAAGCTCAGAGAGCGGCTTGACAGCGATTTGCAAAAAGCGATGTGCAGGGTAAACACATTACAGGCCAATCCAGCAAACCACCGACCCTCTTTTATTAACTCGATCAACACAGATCTCACCCCGACCTCACACACAGCCTTGAGTCACTTGAAACACATGAAAGGCTGCAGAGGTGAAGGGCAGTCATTCAGGAAACAGCCCTTGAAATGAAAACACACTCAGAGCTCAACACATGCAAATGGACAAAATGCATGTGCTGCAAATACTCGCAACACACACGACGTAGGGAGAGGAAAATTAAAAACATCTCTTTGTTCAGGCATATAAATAGTTCGAAACTCTGACCAAGCGCCCGGTAAAAGGATAGGTAAACCCCAAAATCAATACTTTGTCGATTGAGTATTTCATTATATTATATATCACATAAAATGCAAATCAATCATGTCTTTCAAACTCCTACACCTACATTGTAACTCAGTTAAAAATTTCAAGTCTCAAGCCGTAAGACCAAGATAACCCCGGTGACGTCACTGTGACATCTACAGGCGCAGTCATGGTGGTAACCATGACGATGTGTAAAATTAGTGGAGTGCCCTTTTTTCTTTTTTTTTTTGAATTACTTTCTCCTTGCATCACGTTTGACCTTCTCCACTGTAAAAGCAGCAGCGCAGCGTTCCTGTGTGATGAAAGCAGCTCGGTCATGACTCCTGGTATAAAGGCAGCGGCTTTCATTGGAATCCTTTGAATACTTTATAGTGTCTTTGATCAAGGACATCACAGATCAGGTAGACTTTAATAACAATAGCCGGCTATTGTGTGCACTGATGCTCTTCGTAGGGGGGGATATTTTTAGCTCTGCCTACCATCGTGGCCAGATGGTCGGACAGGTAGCTCGAACAAAAGTTCACGGGGCCGCATATCAAAGTAATGATACTGATCCGCTCTCACCCCAAAAAAAAAAGTTATTATACAAGGTCTTATTCCAGGATGTTATTTTCTGGATTACACCAGCTTAACCTGAACAATTTAAGTGTTTTTTAATACATTAATTTCAAATTTGTGCCAGTGTTTGTTTTGTTTTTTTAATGGAGAGATATTTAGGAGTCACTTTACTTTTTCATCTGATGTGAAAAAAACTGACTGTGCCTGTTTTTCTTTTTTCTCTTCCTGTTTGTTTCAGGACAAGAAGAAATACCTCGACATCATCCACAGCTACATGGAGGTTCACGGCACCGTGCACGGCACCAGCACCGTGCACCTCCCGAGCTACGTTAAGAACCACGGCATACTGAGCGGCCGAGACCTGCAGTTCCTCCTCCGAGAGACCAAGGTGAGTCCGCCCGGCTGTAAATCGTCTCACATGAAGAAAATGACCCTGCAGGGAAATAATAGCGTGAGGGTATGTGCTTATTACAAGGCTATGAAAGCCATAAACCAACTCCCACGCTTTTCCATTTGACATTTTTTAAATGACCAAGAAACTGTGGCCCAGCTAACCTGCAGAAACACTTTTTTTTTTCACACACCTGGCCTTTTTTCAATGAGCCAAGGTTGTGAAACCTGCTCTAAAAATTTCTGTAATAGTAGCCAATGGGTGAATCACTTATTTTGAATAGCTGTCGTTGGATAAAGTGAGCAGTATAGAAATAATGGAATTGCTCAGATATTCGGTGAACTGATCAGGTATTCACTTTATAGCTCAAGAAAAAAATTTGCAAAGCCGGCCGTAGTTTTTAAGCATGTTTCATTGTGAGGCAGGTAAGAGAATAAGAATCTGATTCTTATTTAGATGTTGGAGTGAAAGAATGAGTCTTTATGTGAACAGAGGCCTCATCTGAGAGAGCCTTGAGCTGAGTGGCTGTATTTTCTCTTACTCTGTCCTCAGTCCAGCCATCCACACAAGCACTTCTCCATTCACATCATGACTTGTCCCTTCCTCTCACGCCTCAAACCACTCTCATTCACAAAGACAAGGACTCGGCCTCAGAGTGTGTGCAGCCAGGCTGGGGCTGTACTGTGCGGGGCGAGCGCTCCAGAGGTGGTGACGTGTATATATATATATATATGTGACGTATATATACACGTGTCAGTGGCAGAACACACTTTCACATGTGCACAGAGTGCGTGGAGCTGTTGAATACAACTGAGCTTTGTTTTGTGGCAGCAGTGAAAGCTGTGAAGTGAGGAGCGTCACGTTAACTTCAGACTCCTTTAGATATAAATAATGGCTGAAACACACAACATGTGGTTGCACACAACATGTAGCACATATGCAGTTTACATGGAAACAGTGGAGGATTTAGATTGCACACGTCTTTATGATTGTTTAAACAGTGGCTGTGTCCTCAATCAGGACAACTTGCATTTATAAAATACACTGCATTGCATTGGATTTTTAGCAGAAATTAGCGCATGTGCCGTGGAAAATATAGCTGATAAATTTCCACACTTGGCGGACAGTAAATGTAGAGCACTGTGTATAGTATACCGGGGTGATTTCAACATATCCAGTGAGTCTTTGATTTCAGAGAAGGTAAACAAAAGCAGACGTCCCGTTTCTAAACGCCTCGCCCTGACACTAGCTGTAGCCAACTAGCTAATTAAGCTAACATCGTCAGAGTAGACAGAAATAGTGTTTAATCCGTTCCTATTTTTCTTAATCTTTTGTTATCGGAAAAGGATGGATGAAGATATTCACACATCCAAGTGTCTTAGGTGCAGGTGCGTTGGAAAGTGTCACTTGGCAGACTCATACTCCCACGAGAGGATAATTGTCACACAAGATGGTTGGAGCATTATCTGTTTGAAATACTCCTGATGATGGTCTCCAGAGACCAAAACGTTAGGATGATCAGTATATTGTGATGCTGAGTGAGAGCATTGTGAGGGATATTCTTTATTTCAAGGCTGAAGTTCTTGTAAAGGCTAAAGAATGACACCACTCTGAACTGTAGAAATGCAGAGTGTTGCTCTTAGTGCAGCCTCTTGCACACGGCATGACTAGCTCGACAGACCTGCCGTCCCGAGTTACTGTCACAAAGCTGTGATTGGACAGTCGCAGTTGGCGGGAGGGGCTAGCTAAATTAGAGGACCTACTTTTCTTCCAAGCTCACAACTTTGGTGAAAACAATGCTTCTTATTCTTATGGAGCTTCCCTTTGCCATCAAGAAATATAATTACAACACCTGACAGCAATGTCTGCTGAAGGTGAAAACTATCATTAGTGCTGGCATTGAAAGATGGGGTCTGTTTTCGTCTGCTCAGAGGAATAGCTTCGATTTCTGGATCCTCTGAAACCAGATGCTTTCCCGTCAGGAGAGGAGAGGCAGAGAGAGGAGAGAGACATCAGACGAGAGCTGGGGCAGGGGAGAAATCCATAGATCATGATTCAGAGAGTTGTAGAAAAAAATGGATAAAGATTTAAACCCCTTTTGTATCAAAAAGATTCTGAGCGTCGCTTTAGCCATGAGGCAGTTCTTCACCGGCAAATCCAGTTCTGTTCTGAGCAGATAAAACCAAGAACCCAGAGATGTTAGAGGCATCGAGACAGAGAAAATCAAAGGTATATTCTGCAATGAGGCAGATCATTAAAGTGGTTGAAAGACTTAAAGGAAACAGCTCTCAAAAATTGGTGCTAGACAGAGCTGCACAAAGAAGTGAAGAGTTTCTGGTTTAGCTGGATTCTGTGTTATATGAGCGGGTTCGCTCAGGAGTTTGGATTCGGTCTATTCCGTATGTTCTTGTAGCATGTGGTTGTTAGTGGAAACCCCCCGTAGAGGAATGACCCATTAAAACCCGCAAACCCCACATGCTTTAGCTGCATTGTTGTTTAAGAGCTTACAAGGAAAGCAGGAGGCGTGGTGCGCAGTTTTCCTCGTGCTGCTTTAACAACAGATTTACTGTTACCTACAAACAGACGGCCGGAGCTAATTGGCCTCGTGGGGTTTAACTATCTGGAGTGTACTGTAAAAAAAAAAAACTCCAGTGAGGACTAATATGTTGCCGTTGACGTCTGATGTTTGATTTTGTCTCCATCAGAAGTTCCCCAAATAAACTCTGACATGTTGTGCTGCATCAGGGGAATAGTGTCGATGATCAAACCGCTGAAGTGCAGCAGAGACTTACTCGGTCATGTTGCGCGTTGACAGTCTTTAGGTTTTTGATTTTTCTTACTTTGCTTCGCCTCCACCTCACATGACTGTCTAACTCTGCTTGTTTAATTGCCTTCTACTGCCTGCCTCTGGTTCGTCTTCCACTTTTCTTTCTGTTTCTCACTCCTCCACACACCTACTACATTATATATTTATCCATAGGTTTGTATGTAAGACAAGGAATAAGTCCTGATTCAGTTCTTTCGTCTTCTACATTGTTATCGTCTTCTTTCCTGCTCAGTAGACGACCAACACATCCCATGGCAGGTGCTGGAATTAGATACCAAGAACAAACAGCCTAATTATCTCAGTGAGTCATTAAACTCAGCAACTGCCACGGAGATACGAGACTCCAAACATTATGTAATGGAGCTCATGAGTGAGCTATTCTCCTTTGCAAGACAACTACATAAACTTAGATATCAACGGCAGTCAAAGACACTTTACATGACATTAAATAAGTGGAAACAATACAAGCGCAGATATTTCATTGTTGTGGATGTTTGGAGATAAGACTTCCAGATGTTGGGGGCAGTTATGGAGAAGACTCTCAATCCAGGTCGTGGTCAGTGGGGGCAGGAGGGGGAGTGTCAGAGGCAGAGTGGATGGACTGAAGTTTATTGAGGTACTCTGGAGGATGTGCGGTTAAGAATACTGTCACAGTGATGGAGACTGGATATGATGAAGGTGTGCGTCAGTGTTTGAGCTGCAGAGAAGGAGAGAGGGAAGAGGCAGGGAAACGGCAGTTCAAGTATTTTGTGTGAGATTTGTGTGATATTCATGTTGTGTACTTTTGTGGAGGACACATACTGAACATACCGAGAGAGGTGGAAGAGATGTCGACGGCGCGGCTGAAGTTGTATGTGGTTTTTTTTTGGTGAGAGCTACGGGACCAACAGTGATGATCAAATCAGATTTGTCAGAGTTAAGAAAGATTTTAATCGCTTCTCTTGACCGGATCGGGCACACGCTGATGTGTTCATATCTAGTGCATTTATCACTGTGACCTGCCTGCATGAGAAACAGTTTTCCATTTCCTCACACACACACACACACACACACACACACAGGTGAAGATGCTTATCTAACTGACATTACCTTGCCTCGGCGAGGTTTAGGAGTCTGGCTCAGGCTTTGTGAGCCCTGCAGGAGCAGCTGCTTCTCCCAAATGTGTTGGCACAGAAACATTTAGTGAAGGAAGAAAACTGCAGAACTTAATCTCTGAGTCAGAATTTAGGGAAAGTTACAAAGTACATTTACTTAAGTTTACAGTTAACTTTTTTCAAGCTACTTTATATTTCTACTAAACTGTATTTCAACTAGACTATTGCACTTTTTAGTCACTTTTATTTTACATACATAATATGATCAATTTAGAAAATATGATGTAGTTTTATAGATTACAGCCTCTGCATACTCACACATCATGTACTCATGAGACTGATAGAATGAAAGATAGTAAAGATAATAATTTTCATGCACAAATTATCTTGTGCACAAAAAACAAGAAGAGGAACTTTACTGCACATTTGAGACACTTGTTAATCTTGCAGTTAATTATTGTGCTCTAGTATTTCATCCTTCCTCTGGGGTGTTATTGCACTTGGCTGTGGGTGAGAATCAGGATGTATATTTACACTACAGAGTTACAAATCAATAGAACAGCAGCTCTGATTGGCAGCACTGGGTCTTAAAAGCAGGATGTCCTTGTACATGTACAGGAACATGAATATGCAAAACTATTTTAATGCTTTCAGGCAAAGACCACGATTGTTATTGATTTCTGTGTTTATATCTATAATTCATTACTCCCTTTGAGTCCTTCAGTGTCTCGTCTCCCCCCCCCACACTCTCCCTATAAATAGTGGTCAACTGTTTGTCAGCAGTGAGGACACACACACATATATATAGATGAAGTGTGCTTTGCTGCCACCTGCTGGCAGAAGTCTGTAAGTCTTATATTGTCTCCTCCAGTTCTCTATATGTACAGTACTTACTTTAAAGTATATTGGTGTGACTCTGCCTGTGTTTAAGTGTGCAGTGTACAGACAGTACGCTGGACCAAACTGTTCACATTTAACACTGAGGCTGATGAGCCTGAGAGTCAAGCTGTGTGTGGTTGATTACAGGATAGGGATCAGCCTGCAAACCATCTCCAGACAGGGAGAGAGAGACTCCTGGCTAGGATGAAACAAAGGGAATGACAAGTAGTCGTTGTCTCGTTTCCTAGATTATTAGAAGGGGATTTTTCTAGATTAGTAAGAGAAGTACTAGTTTTTTTCTTTTATTAGTAAAAATAGTAGGGTCTTTTTCTAGATTATTAGCAGTAGTAGTAGGTTTTTTTTTTTTCTATAGTACTGTTAGAGGGTTGACTACCAAATTTGAACCCAAACGCAAGACACAGAACACTGAGGCAGGGAATTGGTGCAAAAGAAATTTATTGTGACAATACTTAATGTGAATGAATGAGTCTCTTTGCAGGGGGAGCTGTGATGAGTGGGGCAGCCAGGCAGAGCGAGTCCTGAGACCCAGAATTTAGATCCTGTGTTTTTCAGGAGGTCCAGGAGTGGGTCTGAGGCAGGAGTCGTGTCAGGGCGGTGTGTAGCTGAAGCCCAGTATTTGTAGCAGGACTGCTTGGAGATGGTTTGCAGTCCCAATCCTGTAATGAAGAATTAGTATAGTAGTAGTAATAAAGTAGTAGTAGTAGTAGTAATATAGTAGTATTGTAGTAGTAATAAAGTAATATAGTAGTAGTAATAAAGTAGTATAGTAGTAATAGTAGTAATAAAGTAGTAGTAATATAGTAGTATAGTAGTAGTAGTAATAATATAGTAGTAATAAAGTAATATAGTAGTAATAAAGTAGTAATAAAGTAGTAATAAAGTAGTATTAGTAGTAATATAGTAGTAGTAGTATTAGTAGTAATAAAGTAGTAATATAGTAGTAATAAAGTAATGAAGTAGTAATATAGTAGTACAGTAGTAGTAGTAGTATTAATATAGTAGTATAGTAGTAGTAATAAAGTAATGTAGTAGTAGTAGTAGTAGTAATATAGTAGTAGTAGTAGTAGTAGTAATAAAGTAATGTAGTAGTAATATAGTAATATAGTAGTAGTAGTATTAGTAGTAGTAAAGTAGTAGTAGTAGTAATGTAGTAATATAGTAGTAGTAATAAAGTAATGTAGTAGTAATATAGTAGTAGTAGTAATAAAGTAATGTAGTAGTAATATAGTAGTAGTAGTAATATAGTAGTAGTAGTAATAAAGTAATGTAGTAGTAATATAGTAGTAGTAGTAATAAAGTAATTTAGTAGTAGTAGTAGTAGTAATAAAGTACTATTAGTAGTAATATAGTAGTATAGTAGTAGTAGTACTATTAGTAGTAATATAGTAGTATAGTAGTAGTAGTAATAATAAAGTAATATAGTAGTAAAGTAGTATTAGTAGTAATATAATAGTAGTAGTAGTAGTAGTAGTAGTAATAAAGTAATATAGTAGTAATAGTAGTAAAGTAGTATTAGTAGTAATATAATAGTAGTAGTGTAGTAGTAATGTAGTAATATAGTAGTAGTAATAACGTAGTAGTAGTAGTAGTAATATAGTAATATAGTAGTAGTAGTAGTAGTAATATAGTAGTAATAGTAGTATAGTAGTAAAGTAGTATTAGTAGTAATATAATAGTAGTAGTAGTAGTAGTAATAAAGTAATATAGTAGTAAAGTAGTATAGTAGTAGTAGTAATAATATAGTAGTAATAAAGTAATATAGTAGTAGTAGTAGTAATATAGTAGTAGTAAAGTAGTAGTAGTAATAAAGTAGTAATAAAGTAGTATAGTAGTAGTAGTAATAAAGTAGTATTAGTAGTAATATAGTAGTAGTAATAAAGTAATATAGTAGTAGTAATAATAAAGTAGTAATATAGTAGTAATAAAGTAGTATAGTAGTAGTAGTAATAAAGTAGTAGTAGTAGTAGTAATATAGTAGTAAAGTAATATAGTAGTAATAAAGTACTATTAGTAGTAATATAGTAGTAGTAGTAATATGGTAGTAGTAGTATTAGTAGTAATATAGTAGTAGTAATAAAGTAATATAGTAGTAGTAATAATAAAGTAGTAATATAGTAGTAATAAAGTAGTATAGTAGTAGACTACTTTAATACTACTTTATTACTACTACTATATTACTTTATTATTACTACTACTATACTACTATTTTACTACTATATTACTACTTCATTACTTTATTACTACTATATTACTACTACTACTATTACTACTATATTACTACTACTATACTACTATATTACTACTACTACTACTACTTTATTACTACTACTATATTACTACTACTTTATTACTACTATATTACTTTATTACTACTATATTATTACTACTTTATTACTACTTTATTACTACTACTATATTACTACTAATACTACTTTATTACTACTACTACTGTACTACTTTATTACTACTNGTAGTATAGTAGTAATAAAGTAGTAATATAATAGTAGTAGTAGTAGTAAAGTAATGAAGTAGTAATATAGTAGTATAGTAGTAGTAGTAGTAATAATATAGTAGTAATAAAGTAATATAGTAGTAAAGTAGTATTAGTAGTAATATAATAGTAGTAGTAGTAATGTAGTAATATAGTAGTAATAAAGTAGTAATAAAGTAGTATAATAGTAGTAGTAGTAATAAAGTAGTATTAGTAGTAGTAGTAGTAGTAATAATATAGTAGTAATAAAGTAATATAGTAGTAAAGTAGTATTAGTAGTAATATAATAGTAGTAGTAGTAGTAGTAATGTAGTAATATAGTAGTAGTAATAAAGTAGTAGTAATAAAGTAATATAGTAGTAGTAATATAGTAGTAATAAAGTAGTATAGTAGTAGACTACTTTATTACTACTAATACTACTACTACTACTATATTACTACATTACTTTATTACTACTACTACTACTACTACATTACTACTAATAGTACTTTATTACTACTACTACTACTACTATACTACTTTATTACTACTACTACTACTACTATATTACTACATTACTTTATTACTATTACTACTATATTACTACTACTACTATATTACTATATTACTACTACTACTTTATTATTACTACTACTACTATACTACTATTACTACTATATTACTACTACTACTACTACTACTACTATATTACTATATTACTACTACTACTACTACGTTATTACTACTACTATATTACTACATTACTTTATTACTATTACTACTATATTACTACTACATTACTACTACTACTATATTACTACTAATAGTACTTTATTACTACTACTACTATTACTATATTACTACTTCATTACTTTATTACTACTATATTACTACTTTATTACTACTAATACTACTACTACACTACTACT